TATATATATATATTCGTTTAAAAATATGATTCCTGCGCTACATAAGAGTTCTCATGTTTCAAAAACGAGAGCCGAAGCCATCCAAATAATTATTAAAATTAAGTTAAATTGAGGTGTTTAGTACCGTTTCATCTTCAAGCGAAATTTTAAGAATAAGCTATTCCTAAAATTATTATTATTATTATTATATAAAGTTTATTCCTAAAATTTCGCTTGAAGATGAAATGGGACTAAACACCTCAATTTAACTTAATTTTAATAATTATTTGGATGGCTTCGGCTCTCGTTTTTGAAACATGAGAACTCTTATGTAGCGAAGGAATCATATTTTTAAACACAAACATATTATTATGATAAAGCTCTACTTCTGTATGGAGCACTGTCTTCTTAAAAATAAAAACAAAAATACTAAGGAACTCCGGATTATGCACCCAACGTGTTCTTTTCTGTTTACTGCATACCTGCGCACTTATATACAGTCTGTCTGTGAATGACGTTATATATATATATATATATATGAATGATAATACTCGTTTTGAAAAACTTCGGTTAGCTCAACTTGTAATATAACAAATTGATGTCCGAGTAAAAAATTGGTAATAAAAAAGAAAGCACCAAGAACATAACACTGTACGAATCCTCTCGTCAAGTGCTTGAGTTCCAAGTCCAAAGAAAAAAACCCAAAGCAAATAAAAGACTAAAAACGTAAACTGCTCAATACACGAAGTAGAGCAAGAACTAACTAACTAACTATATATATATATATATATATATATATATATATATATATATATATATATATATATGAATGATAACTCTAACATTTTTAGGCATTTAAAACAACATGCCTGTCCGCATACACAATTCCGGAAAATCCTTGTTGAAAACACAACTATACTTAAACATGAAAACAATAAACAAAATCTAAAAATTCTTGAAGCTAAATACAGAAAACAGTTGAATCCTAACCTAAACAAAATAAACTATGAAATCTCCACAAATATTCTTAAATGCATATAATTTATAATAGAAGCCATTGGTTTATACCAACGGCTTCCCATACTTAATACTTCTCGAATTCACTCTCACGTGGTCATGTGTGACGTCATGAGCTGCGGTGCGATTTTCGCTTCCAGCGTCTCATATGCACTAGTTTGTCGTTGCTTAGAAATCTTCCATGTAAACAGAAACAGACTATCATCACTGTCTTGTCCGTGTATTGCTTAATATGTTGTAATTTAATGTTCATCTTTGATAATGGCTTATGTAAGCTGAACCCACAGATAGGATTAAAAATTATCCATCAATATTGTGATTTTCTTTCTTCGTTTAATGATAATTTTATTAAGCTTATCAGACGATATGATAAGTATTTACATAAAATAAATAGACAACACTTGTCTATATTATTTAATGAAGCATGTATCAATATATATATGGATTATTTTTATATATACCAATATATTTTATATATATATATATATATATATATATATATATATATATAGGTAGGAATCCGTTGGTATAATCCAGGCAAGTCCTATTAACACAACATAGAAATTGAAATATGTTAAAACTGATTCACAAAAGAGCACTCAATGCTTATTTTCATTAAACAGAGCAAATTTTCTTTACAATTGAAATTAAGATACCTTTAGTGAATGACCATTTTCGCCTATGAATTTTAACTTTAAAATTCGCAGGATATTTCAAACTGTTTATGGTATCAGTTTGTAGAATATGATTCCAGTAACGCTGCCTCCCTATAAGTCCCCTATAACATTCTCTCTTTCTTCAAATAAACAGTGCACATTAATCAAGGTATTTTAATTCCAACTGTAAAAAAGTATATATATATATATATATGTGTGTGTGTGTGTGTGTGTGTGTGTGTGTGTGTGTGTATTTTGAACAATAAAAAATATTAAAAAATTAAAATTTTCAGACACACTGGCTTGTATAGTAATACTTTTTGTTTTATTATTTCAATTAGGTTCCTCAACAAGTTTCGGCCAACATGGCCATCATCAGGAGAAAAAAATCCTTGCTTGTTAGCAGCAGTGAACTACAGGAGTGAATGACTGTCTCTGAAGAAAGAGAACTTTTTCTGCAGTTTTCATTTGTTTTTTATCGTTAATTTTGGTCAGTCCTTGTGTTGGTCAAACGGCTTCTTTCAAGTTGTTTTTAAGATGGTGGATAGCAGATTTCTGACGAAAAAATTCCCTCCCTTGCTTATTTTGACAGTTTTATTGGTTGCTGGGAATGGGGTGTGTGTGTTAAGTGTATGCTATCTTTTAGTTTTTTTTTTTTTTTTGTTTTTTTTGGAGTGTGTGTGATGCAGTATATGTATATATTTCTGCGAGTGTGTGTATAAGTGTGAGACCTCAACACCTCTGCTAGCATGTCTGTCTTGTGTGGGTGAGAAATGTGGGTAGGGGTTGATTTTTTGGGTTATATATTAATTCTACCTGTGTTGCTAAATTTGTGGTTAAGTCCGTCTGGGTTTTCAGGAGCAAAATCCATTTGTCTTCATGTTCCTCTAATATTTTTCTAAGGTTATCTTTTCTGTCTATTTCTATTTTTCAGTTATAGTGAATTTTGCATGGCTTTTATAATCATGTTTTTTTCATGGCGGAAATGTTGTTCTACAGGTTATAATCTTTCGTGGGGAGCCGACTTGATCCGATTCCTATAATTATTAATTCTGAATGTGTGTGTGTGTGTGTGTGTGTGAGAGAGAGAGAGAGAGAGAGAGAGAGAGAGAGAAAGAAAGTTCCAAACATGTTTGGTTGAACACTATACATATTTTTTAATTAATTTTTTCAAATTTCGTATTAGTTGTTTGATACTATCGTTAAATTTGTTAAATTTCATTATTTATTTTTATTTGATATTATTATTTTTATCGATTTCTTTCAAGATCTACTACATTTACTTCCAAGGATTGTGTTTTGTGTATAATTACGCAACTGTTTTTGCTTTTAATATATATATATATATATATATATATATATATATATATATATAAAGAAAGAAAGAACAGTAAGATATATAATTCGGTTTTCTTATTGATATTTTTTTTTTTATTTTTACAAAACAGTGCTCAATGTAAATTTACAGAGCATAAAAATTATAAAATAACTAGTTTAAAATAGTTTTTTTTCGCTATACATTATATATATACGAGGTGTATCAAAAATACTTTTACAAATTTGGGGGCGGGTTCCTCACACCAAAACAAGGACAAAATTCCTCATCCTGCAGAATGTTGTCTTCGTGACCAGGCGTACGAGGGGATCTCTGTCTTCCTCTGGGGTGCCACAGATCCTATCTCGGCAACGCGACGATAAAGAGCAACAAATGTTGGATAACTTGACTGCTGTCGATCTGGAAACGCAATCTGATACAGCCGTGCAGCCTCACGTCCAATACCATTCTCGCGCCCTTATGTAAAAATCATATCTGGCTGCAAAAGATTTGAATATCCTGTCATTCTCACTAGTACGCACTTTAAACGTTAAAGACGAACTAGCCACAAATGTATACGAATGCCAAATGTAACCGGGTTTATATGGCAAATTTCTTTAAACTTAATAACCCCAAAACGAAGAATCTACAGACATGTGTTTATATGAACTTTTGTCCTTGTTTGGTGTGAGGAAACCTCCCCCAAAATTTGTAAAATTATTCTTACACACCCTGTATAAGCATTAATATCAATTATTTATGGAAAAAAAGAGAACTAAAACAAAAACATAGTAACTTACCTAGCAAAAAAAAAAAAAAAACTAGTATGTGCATAAATAAAAATCAGTCACACGTCTAGAGTCAGAACAAATCCAGACAAAGTCAGGAACAGTCGGAGAAAAAGACAAAAAAGGAAAAATAGAGAGAAGGCTAAATGAGTGAGTGTCAAGTAAAAAGGAAAAAAAAAAGAAACGAAGAAAATGGCAAAATGATAACGACTCCTTACGCGTATGCACATCCGCGCAGACGGGCGCACGCGAGCAAACGCACATTCGCAGAATTGGGCGCATGGCTGCACGCGAACAAACGCACACAAGGACAGAAAAAATACAGAAAAAAAACAGACACCAATGTTAAATGAACATGAAAGGAAAAAACTGAAAATAGATAAGCAGTGAATGGCTGATTCCCACAGAAGAGTGGACGGATAGGTTCGTCCACAAAGCTTTTTTGGTGTCGGGATGCTGAATGTAACATCAATCAGCTGAGGATAAACATATACTCACATTAATCATATATATATATATATATATATATATATATATATATTATATATATATATATATATATATTAAAATAATATAGACAAGTGTTGTCTATTTATTTTATGTAAAATTTTTTCGTAACTTCTGATAAGTTTGATAACATTATCATTAAACGAAGAAATTCACAATATTTATCCATTATTTTAATATAATCTAAGCTTTCGGCTTACTTAAGCCATTATCAAAGATATAAATCACAAACATATTAAACAATATACAGACACGACAGTGATGATAGTCTGTCATTGTTTACATAGTGGATCACTAAGCAACGATAAACACGCGCATATAAGACGCTAGAAGCGAAAATCGCACCGCATCTCATGACGTCACACATGACTACACGAGAGTGAATTGTAGAATGAAATAAGGAAAGCCGTTGGTATAAACCAATGGCTTCTGTTACCAATTATAGAAATTATAGACATTTAAGAATATTTGTAGACATGCCATAATTGACACTACATTTTAATGATAACTCTAACATTTTTAGGCATTTAAAACAACATGCCTGCCCGCACACACAATTCCGTAAAATACTTGTCGAAAACACAACTATACTTCGACATGAAAACAATAGACAAAAACTAAAAATACTTGAAGCATTATACATCCAACCTAAACAAAATCAATTATGTATAAATGAAAATATGCTGCCTAAATACACACAACATATATATATATATATACAAAAGCAATGAGAACGGATCAAATATACAAAAAGGAATAAATAAATAAAGACATAAGGAAAAGAAAGATATAGCCTAAAAAAGACAAAAGAAAAGAAGACAAGATATAGTCACTAAAGAGAAAAAGAAAGAATTCTTCTCTCCTATCTCTTCTTATTTTTCTTTCATCATTCTTTTTCTCTATAGATTCGGGTGTTTTTTTTGTTTGTTTTTTTTTTGGAGTGGGGGGGTGTTGTCGCAGAGAAGCTATGTCTTATAAGTTGTTAGAATTATCATTTTACCCCCTTCTGATGAAATGTTATGAAGTGCATCGAAATATTAATGTATTTATGTAGCGGAAATATGTAAAGAATAAAGAATATATATTATCGGAAATTCGGGCGGGTAAATGTTGTTAATACTGTTTATTATGAACAGAGTATTTACTTAAATATTTATATCTATAAAAATAACGTATAAACTGAATATATATTGAAGTAATTGTTGAACCTACTCTATTTCATAGAAGATGTCATTTGTTTACGTTAAGATACGCTTCGAGCAGATATGAGCGTTCGAGAAAAATAATGGGAAATTTGTAGTTTAAAAGTATTAATTCGAATTTTGGTAACCGGAGGCCTTCCTCTGTAGCTAAATGGTATAGCACGTCAGGGTATATGGCGCTTCCGTTAAGTATATAGATTTGATTCCTGTCGGAGGACACATATTTTCTATGAAATTTGTGGTACATTCAGACCGTTAAATGTTGTTAATACTGTTTATTATAAACAAACCAATTACTTAAATAGTTTATCTATAAAAATAACGTATAAATAGAATATATATGCAGATATTTATAGATAGATAGATAGAAACTATATTAAGATATATAGAAACTATAGATAGATAGATAGATAGATAGATAGATAGATAGATAGAAACTATATTAAGATGGAAACTATATTTAGATAGATAGAAAATATATTTAGATAGATAATATATATATATATATATATATATATATATATATATATATGGTATGCTATATTTATTGGATAAAGTGGTCAATAACAGAGATAGAGGGTATGCAAATATAAAAGGGAACATTGACGTCAACACTCAGAAGTGACAGACAGTTTCATGTTGAAATAGTCCGTCGTCTCTAAGTATTGGCTTCAATGTTCACTTATATGTGCGTGTATATATATATATATATATATATATATATATATATATATATATATATATATTATAACGTAGCGATTTCATTAACCACATAGACGTTAGGCTAAAAAGCACCCCAAAGTAAAATTTTAAATAAAGAGAAAATTAGTTAGATATAAAAGAAAAATAAATAAAAATAGAAATTTAATCCAATGCTTTCGACTTGTGAGCGAATATATTCTATGATCAGCCATATCCTCCTCTTCTCTTCACAAATTCTTTCCCTCTTTATCTACTCTTCCACCCACAAGTCAAGGGCCCGTGAACTTTGAAGTGACCCAACGCGAGAATGACCTGGTTCCAAGATTTCGCAGCTATCAGGCGGTTGACCATAAGTGAATTCCAGTCACCATCAGGGTCTCTTGCTGCGATTCACGTAATCAGAACATACAAAGCGTGTAATGAACTTTTGGCCATCACACAAGCACTGCGTGATTTGCGCCCTATCCTCCTGCGTACAGGGTCAAGGACGAAGGGAACTTTGGGGACAGCAAAAATCTTAAAAAGGATTTTTCAGTTTTCCCTCTGACCAGCAGCAGTTGAACGTCGCTGGGCAAAATCGTCAAACTGCCCACCGAGATGAAGAAGACAGCAAAGTCTGTCGACTAGGGGTGAAAGGACTGCTATGGAACTGATCAACCCAACGAAACGCCTGTACTAGATGCTGTGGACCATCGAACTCTTATGAAAGAAAAGAAATCCAGGAAAATTGCCGGCCGGCCAAAAATATTGTTTTAGCATCAGAACTCTCGCTTCGGTGAATCAGAACTTTGTGTGAAAATATCAGCTCGACTGAAAGATAAGTTGATTCTCTTGGTTTGATCTTTTTTTATATATGTATGTTTCTTTTTTTATATATGTATGTTTCTGTTCTTTAATGGTCTCCTTCCCCTTTGTTAAATGAATGTTCTTTTTTTTCTTTCTTTATTTCTTTATATATATTTATAAATAAATGTTTTATTTTGAAATCCATCGTCTTGTGTCTGTTCTTCGTTGATTCCCTTGTGTCGCTTCCATTTCTGAGTGAAGACCGAGAAAAGATCCCACGTTTTCCTTTTTTTTAAACCCGGGGTTCATTTATATGCTACAAGTTCGTAACAATATATATATATATATATATATATATATATATATATATATATATATATATATATGAGAGAGAGAGAGATGGGGGGGATATGGACAATATGTGCCTTCGTAATTTTTAGTAACTTTTTTCAAATTTCTGAATTAATTATATTATATACGGTAAATGTATCTTCTTTTTCTTTTTTTTTCGAGTATATTACCTTTCAAGGATTCTGTTTTTTGATTGTGTTTACGGGACTATTTGGGGCTAATTATTGAAACCGTTACTTATGCTATCTTTATCCATAGAGAATCGTATAGGGAAGTGTTTATTCACCAAAATCCATTGCTTTTGTCACAAGAGCAAAGTTAGAGGAGGCAAAGGCTCGCCATCATTGCTAACCTACTCCAAGCTAGTGTGATGCATTATACATTAATTCTAACACCATAATCACAAGAACTCATTTCGAATATCAAAATACCGCATATGTATTTTTTTTAAAGCATTACGCCCCGAGCAAGGCGTGAAGCCACTAGGATACAGGGGGTTGCAGAAGATTTGGAGCAAGGTCAGATAGGAGTGATAGAGGAAAGGATGAGAAGAATGATAGTGGATAGATCAAGGTAACTAGAGATGTCGATTGACATTACATTTGAATAGTTGGAGATTATAGCTCTCAGGGAAACAGTAATTGGGAAGGGTGTTCCACAGGCGAGAGTTGCGAGGTATGAAGCTATTGGAGTAGAAGAGACGTCTACATTTAATAGTTTCTACAGTGTAAGGGTGGGAGCGGGATGCCAGCCTCGTAGGGCGCTTCAATTCATGGAGTCTGGGAACCAGTGAAAGCAGCTCATCGGCGCAATTACCATGAAAGTATTTGTAGAAAAGACAGGGAGAGGCGACGGCGCGTCTGTGAGAGAGTGACTGTAGACGAGACGCCAGATCTGGGCCAATTATATTACATATCCGTCTCTGGATCTTGTCAAGAACTCCGAGGTAAACAGAAGGTGCCCCAGACCATATATGGCAGCAATACTCCATGCAAGGGCGAATGGTTGATTTGTATATTTGAAGTATCGATTCCGGGAGAAAAATTTCCTGGCGCGGCACAGAGATCCAAATTTCCACGCGGTGGAAGAAGCAATTTACTCAATGTATTTGTTCCATCTCACGTCAGCAGTCAACGTGAGACCGAGCAGACACAGGGAGTTGCTCTCAAGAAGTTGACTATCAGACATTCTAATGGGGGGTAGAGAAGGATCTCTATGGTGATTAATAGAGAGTAAATTTATATATATATATATATATATATATATATATATATATATACAGACATTTTTATGTTTATACATTCTTTTTATAGATACAAATATTTAAGTAAATGCTCTGTTTTATAATAAACAGTATTAACCACATTTATCGGCCTGAATGTCCGAGAAATTGTCATAGAAAATATACGTCCTCCGACAGAAATCGAACCTGTATCTTATGGAACCGTCATATAGCCTGACGTGCTTTTACCGATTTCGCCACAGAGGAGCGTTTCTGTTAGCAAATTCGACCTATAAAAAGAATGTATAAACATAAAAATGTCTTAAAATAATTGTCGGACTTTGTCCATTTCATATTTATATATGTGTGTCTGTGTGTATTCTTTTTAAATCAACAGTCCATTAAATTAAATTCTTACATTGGTCACACAGGCACTACACTTTGCCGTAGGTTGACTTGTCATTTATCAAAATGTATTGCAATTCATTTACATATCGATCAACATATCTGAAATAAGCAAAATAATATTAACATAAGACAAATTTTAGTAGCTAACACCCAAATATTATACAAAATGCAATTCAAAGAAAGACTCAAAATTTTGGAGGCTGTTGTAATAAAAGTAAAGCATCCAACATTAAATAAAGTATCTTTCTCCATGGTGGGGGGTCGTATATTGAATGTGTGTTTAAAATAAATACACATAAGTATTTTAATTTGGCAGTTTAAATGTAGTCATCTTGAGTGTCTTCAAATTGGTTCCAGTAACCCTGAGAACGTTGTAATTAAACAAAAGCAGTTGCGTAAATATGCCCAAATCACAATTCTTGAAAACGAATGGAGCAACATTCGAAAGTACTTAAGATAAAAATAATTATAGGCTAATAATAAGTATGACTAGTGACAAATTCACTGATTACATAAAAAACCAAATTCGTAAATTTGAAAAAAATTACGGATCGCAACAACTATTAGGGAGATTTGATTAAATGGAGTTGAATATTTTAAAATCTATTCACTATTATTATTGTTTAGGTAATAAGCTTTATAACATAGCACAAATAGCTATATTGTGGAAAAAGGAATTTTCGACAATATTCACATTTTTTACGTATTTATGGTTATTTTTTTAACTTTAATCAAAAACGACATTCTTGTACATGTAGTTATGGACAATATTATACATTAATTACTAATTTTTTTTTAATTATTAGGTTGGTGCAAAAATAATCACGTAATAATGTCGTTTTTTGACGTCCTTTTCTACGTCAAAAAACGACATTCTTACGTCATTATTTTTGCACCAACCTAATAAAAACTATTTGTGTTCATTTGTTGACTTTAATAGCTATCTGGTGGTGCGTTAAAATTTTAGAATAATGCAATTATAAAAATTATGATAAATGTCGCCATCAGCTATTAAAAATTTATAGGACAGAACTTATCAATATTATTCGACCAAAGATGTTTGAAATATGCATATATATATATATATATATATATATATATATATATATATGCCTTCGTGCGTGTTTTTGTGTGTGTGTGTGTGTGAATTATATTTAGTCAGCAACCATTTTATTTCAACAAATTTTGTTCAATTCTTTATTTTATCTTTCCAATTTTTTGAATTTAAGCAGACGAACATTTTCGGCTGAATTTTCTAAATCAATTTTAAATGCCTACATGTGTTTGTGTCTGTTTGTGTGTGTGTGTCTGTGTGGGTTTATATGTGTATGCCTGTGCGTGTGTGTATGTTATAACGGGCGTGCGTGCCTACCTGTGTCTGTGTAGGTTAAAAGGTATCACTTTGTGCGCATGCGTCCAATATTCTTCTTCCTTTCTTCAATGTTTTCTTGATTCTCTCGATGCGATGACTACCTCGTTAGTCGATCGTTTTTGTTTTGTTTGGTTTGGTTTGTTGTTGTTTTTTTTTTTTTTTTTGTTTGTTTTTTTTTTTTTGTTTTCTTCCACACACCCTCATGATCTTCTAACCTAATTTCTGCGCACGATTTCTGTTTAATTAATTTAACTGCATTTTTCCACATTTTGTACATTTTTTTTGGCTTTGTTTTCCTATGCCGCATACACCAACATGAACAAAAAGATATATATGAACAAGCTCTGCTTTTTTAAAAAACAATGACATCAGCATTCGTGAAAATTATGACAACACTCACTCTCGAAGAAAAGAGAAAATTGACGATAAATACAAATTCGTTAATCAAATTTTCAAATGCAAAACTGACGTTTTTTTTAGATGCAGATGACGAGATAGATAGATAGATAGATAGATAGATAGATAGATATGACTAGGCTGAGATAGATGGATAAATATGAATTGGCTGGGATAGATAGATAGATAGATAGATAGATAGATAGATAAGGTTAGAGAGGTAATGAACAGTGAGATAGATAGATAGATAGATAGATAGATAGATAGATAGATAGATAGAGTTAGAGAGAGAGAGATAATGAACAGTGAGATAGATATGAATAGGCTGAGATAGTTGGATAAATATGAATTGGCTGGGATAGATAGATACATAGATACATAGATAGATATGAATAGGCTGAAATAGATAGATAGATAGATAGATAGATAGATAGATAGATAGATAGATAGATAGGAATATGCTGAGATAGATAGATAGATAGATAGATAGATAGATAGATAGATATGAAGGGTTTTACATGAAGTAGATAGATAGATAGATAGATAGATAGATAGATAGAAAAAGGCTTTCTCAACTTAGTATCTCTGCCGATACTCCTGACTATATAACAAATCTGATCAAGTTCGATAAAGTGAAATTGCCAGGTAATCTAACAAATGTCCCATTAATCTATTAATCCCCTGAAACAGCCCTTCCTGCCTCCTATCAGCCTGTCTGATTATAGCCTCCATATACGTGACTCTTTGTGTCTACTCGCTCAAAAATTCTCGGCTGACATAAAGTTCAAATAATACATTGAATCCATTGCTAGCTTTGCTGCTAAGAAAGTCGTTTCATTGTGTCATGCTAGACATTTTTTCCCGGAATCTTGCATATTTATAATTCTACCATTCGTCCATGCTTTAAATATTGCTGTCACATTTGCACTGCTGCTTCTGCTGTGTATTTAGATTTTCTTTTTCAAAATCCATAGAAGAATCAGTAATATTATGGGTCCTGACCTGGCGTCTCGGCTTCAGTCACTGGTAGCTTCCCTAGACCTTTTCTATGAATACTTGCATGATAATTGTTCAGAAGAACTTTCCTCTATGGTACCTAGACTTTATGCATTTAAGCGCAGTAGTAGATTAGCAAAAAGGTGTAATCAATTCACAGTTGAAGTGGCTACATTGCACCGTAAGTTCTATGCTAACTGTTTCTTCTATAGTACTTCTTCCTTGTGGAACTTTCTTCTGGTTCCATGCTTTCCAGCCAACTTTGATCTTCAAAAAAATTAAATGCAATCTCCACGGTTATCCTGATTCCTCTTCTTTTCGTCTCGCTCCCTAATGTTTCGCTTTCTTTTCTTTTTTTTTCTTTTTTTTCTTCCGAACTCAGCAATCCCTTGTGTCTTAGTGGCTTTACTCTCTTGCGTGGGATGAAATGATTAAAAAAGAGTTATGATGAAACATTGGACAAACTCAGTGAACCCGTTGGGGAAAAATATTTTCTTTCTTTCCTTCATTCCATCCTTCCTTCCTTACTTCCTTACTTCTTTCCTTCTGCTTTTCTTTCTTTCCTTTCCTTCCGCCCTTCCTTTCTTCCTTTTTTCTTTCCTTCCTTTGCGCCCTCCCTCCTTCACTCCCTTCCTCCCTTCCTTCCCTTCCTTCCTTCCTTCATTTCCTTCCTTCCTTTTTTCTTTCCTTCATTTGCTTTCTCCCTCCCTCCCTTCCTTCTTTCTTTCCTTCCTTCCTTCCTTCCTTCTTTCCTTCCTTTTTTCTTTCCTTCCTTTGCTTCCTCCCTTCCTTCCTTCTTTCCTTTCTTCTTTCTATCCTTCCTTCCTTTTTTCTTTCCTTCTTTGCTTCCTCCCTCCCTCCCTCCCTTCCTTTTGTCTTTCCTTCCTTTGCTTCCTCCCTCCCTCCCTTTTCTTCCTCCCTTTTCTCTGTATTTTCTTATTTTCTATCTATTTTTTCCTTTTTGTATTTTCTTTCTTTCTTTCTTTTCCCTTTGTATTGTTATTTCGTTCTTCCTTTCTCTCATTCTTTCTTTATTTCTTCCTCCCTTCTTTTCTTTTTTCTGTATTTTCTCATTTTCTTTCTTTCTTTCTTTCTTTCTTTCTTTCTTTCTTTCTTTCATGTTCTCCAGACCTACCTACCTACCTTTCGTTCTTTCTTCTTTTCTTTCTTTTTCTTTCTTTCTTTCTTTCTTTCTTTCTTTCCTTCATGTTCTCCAGACCTACCTACCTACCTTTCGTTCTTTCTTCTTTTCTTTCTTTTTCTTTCTTTCTTTCTTTCTTTCTTTCTTTCTTTCATGTTCTCCAGACCTACCTACCTACCTTTCGTTCTTTCTTCTTTTCTTTCTTTTTTTCTTTCTTTCTTTCTTTCTTTCTTTCTTTCTTTCTTTCATGTTCTCCAGACCTACCTACCTACCTTTCGTTCTTTCTTCTTTTTTTCTTTTTCTTTTCTTTCTTTCTTTCTTTCTTTTCTTTCTTTCTTTCATGTTCTCCAGACCTACCTACCTACCTTTCGTTCTTTCTTCTTTTCTTTCTTTTTCTTTCTTTCTTTCTTTCTTTCTTTCTTTCTTTCTTTCTTTCTTTCCTTCATGTTCTCCAGACCTACCTACCTACCTTTCGTTCTTTCTTCTTTTCTTTCTTTTTCTTTCTTTCTTTCTTTCTTTCTTTCCTTCATGTTCTCCAGACCTACCTACCTACCTTTCGTTCTTTCTTCTTTTCTTTCTTTTTCTTTCTTTCTTTCTTTCTTTCTTTCTTTCTTTCTTTCATGTTCTCCAGACCTACCTACCTACCTTTCGTTCTTTCTTCTTTTCTTTCTTTTTCTTTCTTTCTTTCTTTCTTTCTTTCTTTCTTTCTTTCTTTCTTTCTTTCATGTTCTCCAGACCTACCTACCTACCTTTCGTTCTTTCTTCTTTTCTTTCTTTTTCTTTCTTTCTTTTTCTTTCTTTCTTTCTTTGCTCTTTGTATTTGCCTTCTTTCGTTCTTTTTTCTCTTTGCATTTTGTCTTTCTTTTTCTTTCGTTCTTTCTTTCTCCTGTTCATTCTTTCTTTTCTCTTTTTATTCTCTTTCTTATTTTAAAAGATTTTATTGATGTAAGACAAGGAAGGAGGGCTTGGAAAATCTGATGCTCACAGGACAGCTTGAAGGCAGGAAAGAAGGCAGAAGAACAACGTATTACATACTTATTGAGCTCGGGAAAATGGATGGTGTAACAGGGTTTAGGAGAAATAGCAAAACGACAACATTTATTAAGAGCTACAATGGAGAGGACGTAGTGGAGAGCCATGATCGTCAACGTTTTCAGGTGACACGACACAAAAGAGAATAATGTTTTCAGACGGACAGATACTTCTCCTCATGTGGCCTCAGAAGCAATATTAACACCGAGGTGCTGATAACGTTGGTCACACTCTGGATCTAGAAATGAGTGGCAGGACATTCCTCTTCTCGACATCGACCGACTCAGGGATGGCTTGCCTAATTTCACGGTCAAATCACCACTGAACAGGTGGCCTCCTCGCACGACTGATGCCATCATCTGAATGGAGACGTCCGGTGTTCCTTCGAAATGGAAACAAACAAGCGGCTGCACGAGAGAAAGGACATTTTGAAAGTCGCGATGGAGGCCACTTGATCTAGGCATTCATGCGTTTGGGCTTCCCAAACGACATTTATCCGGGAAACGGTTCCACGTAGATGACGATGTCCTTTCAATGATACAATAGGGTCTGGATTCGCTTGATGCCACGTCCTTTGTCAAGGCTATTTATGCCTTCATGCATCAATAAGGAAAATAAATGTCTCACCCTCATTGACTACTTCGGAGAGAAGTATCAGATTGGCGCTGGTAATACATATATGTATATCTGTATATATACGTATATATATATATATATATATCGTCACACATTATGAAATGGACAAAGTCCGGCAAATATTTTAAGACACTTTTATGTTTATATATTCTTTTTTTTATAGATACAAATATTTAAGTATCGCTCTGTTTAAAATAAACAGTATTAACAACATTTACCGGCCTGAATGTCCGAGAAATTTTCATAGAAAATATTCGTCCACCGACAGGAATCGAACCTGTATCCTATACCGAAACGTCGTATAGCCTGACGTGCCTTAACCGATTGGGCCACAGAGGATCGTTCGGTTTATTGCTTTTAAACTTCAATCTTCCATGATTCTCTCACGTATATTTATATCTGCTCGATGCGTATCCAAATGTAAACAAATGACGTTACACATTATGAAATGGACAAAGTCCCACAATTATTTTAAGACATTTTTATGTTTATACATTCTTTTTATAGATACAAATATTTAAGTAAATGCTCTGTTTATAATAAACAGTATTAACATTTACCGGCCTGAATGTCCGAGAAATTTAAAACATAAAAATCTATAAACATAAAAATGTCTTAATATATATATATATATATATATATATATATATATATATATATATATATATATATATATAATTGTATATGTATGTGTGTGTGTGTGTGTGTGTTGAAATTCCCAAAGACTTCAGTTGTTAAATCTGAAAGAAAGAAAAAATCATTAGACGCTTAAACTTAATTCACATTTAAAATCGGTGCAAGTTATTGGAACACACCTTTTTTGTTTTAGGTATTTAAAATGTCAAGAGGTAATAGATTTTACAAGTACTGACTTGTTATAAGAAAAAAACCGATGAAGATTTTTCGCAAAACATCCTCTTTATGTTGACCAAAAAAAAATCGCGAAGTACGCGAAATGCATTTCTGTTTGAATGTTCATTTTCGTAACAGGCTTCAATAACTTTAACACGTTGTTTGATTGTTAATCTTTCCATGGTTGAAATTGCGAAAGACTTAATTTGTTAAATCTGAAAGAAAAAGAACAAAAAAAATCATTAGACGCTTAAACTTAATTCACATTTAAAATCGGTTCAAGTTATTTGATCACCCTTTATATAGCACGCATCGTATAAAGGTTTCGATTGTGTATTCCAAAGTGTAATAGGCTTCGATAATTTTAACACGTTGTTTGATTATTAATCTTTCCATGGTTTAAATTGCCAAAGATTTAAGTTGTTAAATTTGAAAGAAAAAGAAAATAAATAATTCCCCAAATCACCCTTAAATTCTAAGAAAAAGAAACCTTAAATTCTAAATGATGTTTATCGGTAGACCATAACCCATGATCACTGTTTATTTTATATTTTATGCTTTTAGTTTAAACTTTAGCTTATATATATATATATATAGATGTGTGTGTGTGTGTGTGTGTGTGTGTGTGTGTGTGTGTGTGTGTGTGTGCGTGCGTGCGATGAAACTGCCAAAGTTATAGAAAAAGTTGTTTTACTGGTGCTGAATTGTCTTGGTCCTGAATCTCCCGGTGCTCAGTCAGCGTGGGTGAGGTGTCCCTTACTAGTTTATCTTGGTTGTTACAACATTGGCCATTCTAACACTTGGTCTTCTGCTATCTGTTGTCATTTCAGAATTTTAAAATAAGCCCTTTATTCAATCCACAGTGCTCGATTGTTCTCATTCCAGGCTTAAGGGAGATTATGTTAGTTAATGCTCTCTGGTCTATTCTTCTTTTGTCCATTTCTTCCACAGAATTCCAGAGAATTAATTGTTACAAGATATGCTCTAGGCATGGAAAGTGGAATGAAAACATTCTAGCCTGTTGCTGGAATAAAGTGTTTTGGTTCAAACTTCTGAGAAAGTCACTTAGTACAACTGACATTTTAAAAATGCCAGAAGGTACAAAAGCTGAAACATTGTGGGTACAGCAACTAAGACGAGGTACTCAACCTATGTTAACTTTAATATTTTTTAATAAAATCAATGAAAAAATTACTGGCTGATTTTTTTTGTCTTAGATTCAGCCATAACTATTTTTTATCAAATGGACAAATTCATCTCATCTAACTTTGTCCATTTGATAAAAATAGTTAATATGATCAGGCACAGACATATAAAGATCCCTATAAGTGTCACTGGACTTGAAAATAAGTTTACATTTCTAATATATTGTCTTGTATATATATATATATATATATATATATATATATATATGTGTGTGTGTGTGTGTGTGTGTGTGTGCGTGTGTGTGTGTGTGTGTGTGTGTGTGTGTATTAGACATGTCTCATTAAACAATTGAGACAAGATTTGGCTCCTTATTCTTAATAGCATCCTCTCATATTTACGGATAAGTTTCTTAGTATCCTTATTAAAGGAAGAAGATTATC